AGTTATACTTTCATTGATAAACTATGTATTTATTAATAACTAGATATTACTCAATAAAAGACAGACAGGCAAGATTGTCACTTATAACACAAAAAAAAAAAATTTAAAAGATGAATGACATTTTTATTTATTATTATTTAAGTTCTAATTAATATTTAGGTTGACTAAATTTTCTTATTTTAAATTTGCAAATGATATATTATAATTGCTTGTAATGCAAATTTGTTATTTGGTTTTATATTTAATGATTTATTTGAATCTGCAAGTAATTTCTAAAATTTTTAATGCTTTCTGAATACCTCATAATTTAACTAATTCAAATGCAAAAAAAAATTTTTTTTCTTTTTTTCTTTACTTTTTTTTTTTCTTTATTTTTTTCATTTATTGAGAGAATTTAAATAATTAAACTCATTCAAAACACTTGGTAAAATGTAGTAATGTGACTGATATTTCTTTATTGCAAAAATGACAGCTCTATCTAAAAGACCATATGCATAAGCACTCATAAATTACTCAGATTAGTATGCAAACTGACAGATCTTAGCCAAAGTGACAGAATTCAATGCTTATGGAACAGTTTTTTTAAGGCTTTTAAATGAATAACCACAATGTAAATATATATATCATTTTACATCTTCTCAAAATGCTTTAATATAGTTGAGCTTACAATGAAATTTGAAGTAAAAGATGCATATATACCTAGCAGCCTCAATAACTTCTTGTAAATAGTTTTTTAAGACATAAAATCAGGCTGACACTAAGAATACAAGTTGTATAACATTGCTTATTTGTTGAATCAAAAATATGCTATTTATATAACTCATATTTCTTTTGTAAATTTTTTATTTACAGGCCACATTCCTCAAGAATACATCAAATCTTTTTTGTTTTTTTTATACCATTTTCATCTACAAATGTCATTACATAAACAGAGCCATCAGGCATTTTTTTATTTCTAAGTAGAGGTTGCTTGCCTTCATCTTTTAAATTCATATATAAAACAATTAAGGCATTATTAGCATATGCATTATGAGAGCAGCTGTTATCAAACATAAAAAGTGCAAGTTTACTGAGATGCATTTGTTTGAAAATTGGAATGACTCTTTCAACTACTTGTTTCATAAGGTTCTCATGTGCTTATCAACCATCTCTATTAGAACCCAAGTACATTACAACACATGCCTCATTATATAGAATTTGCTTATTATTGGGGAGAAAGTCATTTATAACTTTGTTTTTTTCTAAAAAGTGAAGACATCCAATCAATTCGCAAATAAATTCACTAATATGAATACTTAAATCTGGCAACTTTTGTTAAATTTAGTGTTTGTTTGCAGGACCTTATGTATTGGTAATATCATTATTAGCATAAAACACTAATTCATTGTAGATAACTAAAACAATTTCAGAGACATTAGATGAAAGGTTAGGTAAAACAACCTGTTTCATACTTTTTCTTTTATATGTTGCCATTCTGAATCTTAAAACAGCTATTTGTTTCAAGAATTAATTTCTGTAAGCAACTACATTGTCATATTTATGATCATCAAAATAAATGTCTTTTGAATGATCCTTATAATTCTACTCAAGTTGATGCAACTATACATGAGCAGTTGTTTTAGAAAATATTTTTTTTAATTTTAAAGGCAGGTATAGCATCATTTTTAATAAAATTTATAAACTGGCTAACTGTTATTTTAAACTTATTAGTATTTAAATATTAATAATATAAAACTTAAAATCTTTATGTAAAAAAAAATTGAATTTTGGATATCAACCACAGCATGATTCATGAAGTTTTTCTCTTTTTAACCACTTATTAGACTATGAACATATTAATCTTGTATGCCATATACCTCTGTTAATGCTCTAAGAAAGAATCTCATTAGCAGTTATTTTAAAAAAACTCTAGTCTTTAACAAAATGAAAAAATTAACTTACTGTATGCAAGTGTATATTATCTGAGTTGTTTTTTAATATAATATTTAATAACTCCAAGATAAATTTATTATCTTCATCATCACTAAAGTTATAAAATAAAATATTATTACACTCATTCTTATTTTCAATATTGTAAATATTGTTCATAGAATTTTTTGTATTGCTATCTAAGAGGTTATAAAAAATCTAATCTGTAATCTTGTTAGAACCTGATGTAGCTTTTCTCAAGGCTGCTCTTTTATTGTGAAAGGTTAATTGGGCAAAGCCTATATAAATCTGTTTTTATCTTTTTATTTTCATTACTTCTGGATGTTTTGCATTATTAATAAGTTCCTCCAATATACTTGGTTCAACACTTCCTAAATTATTTACAAATTGGTCATTATTAGGTACCTTAAAAGGTTTATTTAATCTAACATTAAACTACTGCTTTCTAATAGCTACTTGGCAATTTCTAGAATGCTTGCTTTGTTTAGGTATCAAAAAATTCAAGATTATATAACAGATAAGTATCTAATTTCTTGTATTATTTTTGTAATTTTATGCTAACTTTGACTATACATATGTGCTTCATGAATTATATTAGCTTTGTAGGTTATACTGACCTTGTAGATTATATTGACCTTATAGTTTATACTGGTATTGTAAGTTTCCTGAAGTTATACTAGCTTTGATAAATTACTAGCCTTGTGGCTTGGCAGCTTAGTGGATTACAGATTACAGACTTGGTTTTTATACTGACTTTGTTTAACTATATTAGTTTATATACTATGCACTTCAACATGAAATTCAAGATATTGTATGTACATTTAGACAAAAAAAAGTAAAAGTTGTCTAAAAAAAAGAAAAAAAAAGATTTTTATAATCAAATTCAGAAAAAAAAAAGTCAAATCATAGGCTAATTTTGATTATAATCTGAATAGTAGAAATAATTACTTATAACTTCAGTTAAATTTGCAGCTTATTTAGCCAAATTTGAAATCATAAAACTCTGAAAGTGGCCAAATAATTAGCAAATTTGACTAGAGTTATAAGTAATTGGTTCTACTATTTAAATTACAAATAAAATTAGCCATGATGTTGTTAAAATCTAATCAGATTATTAATTACTAACAGATAACTAACTAATTATATTATGTTATTCTATATATTAATAATTAACAAAATTTTCAGTAAAGATCTACAATTGGATATGATTAGGCCATTTGCACTATAGTCTGCTTATATATTGCTATATAAGTTATATACTAAATGCTATACCTACAAGTCAGTTAGAAGTTTTGTCTATTTAAACTTTTTGCATATGCAATCTATTTTGTATTATAAGAACATCTTTAGAGTACCACTTATTCAAATTTCTGATACTTATCAGTACTTTAAGAACTACTTTATTCTTGACAAAAAACTTACTAAAGCCTGTTATATTTTATATATAGCTAATCTAGTTTTATGCAATATGCTATAGTTATCTAATACTTGCAGTTACAGTTATCTTTTTAACTGCTACATTATACTATTTTTATTTTTGTAAAGTTTACTAAAACCTTAGAATTTATCTTTCTAACATCTTCTTTATTATTCTCTATTAACTATAACTTAAAATTAACAGACTTTAGTCAAACTATTAATTCAAATAACTTAGTATAGTATACTTCTGTATTCTTTTTTCTTTAGTAAGTTCAGTAGTCTAGTTAGTTATATATCTTTTTTTATACATATTTGGCATCTAGTTTATCTGATCTGTTTCTATGAAGTTGTTTTATAAGCTTCAACTAGTCTGATAGTACTGTTAAAAGTTTATACTACCTCTTTATTCAGAAATTTCTAAGTAGGTTTTTGTTATTTTAGTTTCTTAGTCTTTTATACCTAGTAGTCTTGCTATAAGTTTGCATTAAAGTCTTATACAAGATCAATTATTAACATTCTTCTATATATATATAATATTATACTTTATATAGATGTCCTGAACTTCTAATATCAAGTAAAACCTGACTTGATATATCTAAATTACAGCTATATAAAGCCAACCAATTGACAAAAAACAGTTATCATAATGTATATATAATTTTAAAATTTTATTATAAGTAAAATTTGAATCTTAAACCTACTATTTGAAGAATGACAACCCAACTACTATATTAGGATTACTATTTTTATGCTTACAATTATTATTACTAATATGTTTATAATTATTATTATTAATATACTTGTAGTTATTACTGTTAGTATACTTATAGTTGTTATTACTAATATACTTGTAGTTGTTATTACTATTATATTTGAAGTTGTTGCTATTAGTATGTTTATAATTATTGCTGTTATTATTGCTTTTAGTAACCTTAATATGGTTTCTTAAAAACTTGGTTAAAAAAAACTTTTTTTTTTATTTATTTTTTTTTTAAAAAATTTTTTTTTTATATAATATGATTTTATTATTATTAATATTATTTTTTTATTACTTTTTTTTATATCAATTCTTTTTTTTTTTATGTTAAAGTTTTTATTTTTAGATTGCAACTTTTTTATTCAAATTTGTAAGACATAGATGCCTTCAGAGGCTTTCTTATATTAGAGGTTACAACTAGTCATATATGCATTTTTAATGTCTAATTTAAGTATTCTGCCTATATATTATTATATAGGTTCTATATTAAATATTATATTTGCAAGCCAACTATATATACAATCCTTGTGTATTACAAAAACATTACAGAATATTATTCATCTAAGTTTCTAATGCTTATTAGTACTCTTAGAACTACTTTATTCTTAACAAAAGACTTACTAGAGCCATTATGTCTTACATATAGCTGTTCTAGTTTTATGCAACATGCTATAGTTATTTAACATTTGCTATTATAAGAGTTATATATTTAATAACTATGTTATATTATTTTTATTTTTGTAAAATTTACTAAGACTCAATATCTATTTTTTTAACATTTTTTCTATTATCTTCTATTAGCTACAACTCAGAACTGATAAACTTTTCAGATTTCTAATTTAAATAGCCTTATACAACTTTTTATTTACAACTATGTGATGTTAAAATAATCTATTTATTTAAGTCTTACTACTGAAAATTATTTCTTCAAAGTATTATAAATGCTATTAATACTGAAGAAGAAATACCTAAATCTAATTTCTTGAATATAATTAGATAGTGTACTGGTTTGACAACTAATTTATTATATTATTATTTATTATAATTTAAAAAAATAAAAATAAAAATAAAAAAATAAAATAATAATAAAAAATAAAATAAAATAAATAAACAGTAAAATAAGTAAATAAATAATAATTAGTAAATTAATTATTCAAAATTAGACCAACTAATTGATCAATATATTATTATACTAGGCTTGTTACAGAAGCATAAGGTAATATAACATCTAAAATAATCATTAATTGCTAAAAAAAGCTGAAATAGTGCTATCAAGTAAATGGAATCAGTTAAGTTAAAATATGTTAAGCAATAAAAAAACAAATGTTAGAACTAATCTCAATAGTAGAGCTAGCATTAAAATCAAAGCTGAATTTGAAGTTAAAACCAAGAATGAAATTAAAGTTAAAGCCAATAATAAAATTGAAGCTAAAATAGAAGTTAAGAATATTATCACTAAAGTCTAACCTAATTATATGCAGGTAATAACTGCTGATAATTATATTTACTCTTAAAATAAAAAAGATAAAATAGCTATTATTAAAGAAATACTTTTTTAGTCCAATTCCAATAGTGATAATGATAAAAATAATATTGTAATTAAGAAAAATTTATATTTTGTTGTCTTAGAGCAATGCAGATTACTTCTATAATATGTAGAATAACAAGAACTAATAAAATTTGTTAAAAATCAAGATTTATTACAGTTGTAAAGTTTGTTAAAATGGATTTAATTAAATATATTCCAAAACAAAAAAAAACAAAAAAAGGTAACTGATTTTTTTTAAAATATAATAAAGTAGTTTAGATCTTAGAATATAACAATATAGAGAAAAAAAACAGACCAAGATATTGTATTTGATTTTTTTTTTCTTTTGTTTTATTTTATTGTTTTTTTTTAGATCTTAGGCAGTATAGATAATGCTATTAATAAAATATATTAATTAATTAATTTAAAAAAGTGTCATCTAACTGCATAAGATTCTTTTTTTTTTTATATTGAAATTTTTTTTTTTGT